AATCATACAAAAAAAATAGAATATTCATCAAAACATGGTGCCGCTTGGTACATTAATCTCTAAAAATCATATATTAATTTTAGAATGCAAAATATAAATAAAAGTATAAATGTTTCACCCATACCGGCCCCTCGGCGCCCCACTACGCGTGTTGGGAGTGTTTTACTTTTTTTTGTCCCTTTTTGTGGTCATTTTTTACAGGCAAGCCTAGAAAAATATAAGGATCGTGTCTGTAAAATTTTATAATTTTTTGACGTCGTTTTTGTTTTATTTTATTTTTCAAATATAAAAAAGATACAGAATCATAAAAAATAGAATATTCATCAAAAAATGGTGCCGCTTGTTGCATTAATTCCAAAAAATCGTATATTAATTTTAGAATGCAAAATATAAATAATAATGTAAATTTTTTATCCATCCTGGCCCCAGTGTGCCCCACTTTACGAGCCGGGGGCTTTTTGATAGCATTTACTTTTTTGTCATTTTTTACAGGCATGCCTAGAAAAATGTAAGGATCGGGTCTGCAAAATTTTAGAACATTTTGACATCAATTTTATTTTATTTTATTTTTCAAATACTAAAAATAAAGAAAATCATAAAAAATATATTATTCATCAAAAAGTGGTGCCGCTTGGCATTAATTCCTAAAAATCGTATATTAATTTTAGAATACAAAACATAAATAAAAATGTATATTTTTTAGTCCTCTCGGCCCCTGGGTTCCCCACTACCTCAGCCGGGGGTTTTTTGACAGTGTTTTACTTTTTTTAGTCCTTTTCTTGTGCCATTTTTTACAGGAATGCTCAGAAAAATGCCCAGAAAAATGTGAGGATCGTGTATGCAAAATTTTGGAACTTTTTGACATCATTTTTATTTTATTTTAAATTTTAAAGATGAAAAATAAAGAAAAAAATAAAAAATAAAATATTCATCAAAAAATGGTGCCGCTTGTTGCATTAATTTTGAAAAATCATATATTAATTTTTGAATCTAAAACATACATAAACATGTAAATGTTTTACCCATTCCGGCCCCTGGGCACCCCACTACGCGGGTCGGGGGTTTTTTGACAGCATTTTACTTTTTTGTCATTTGTTTGGGCCCTTTTTTGCATGCATGCCCAGAAAAAATGTAAGGATCGTGTATGCAAAATTTCAGAACTTTTTCACATTATTTTCGTTTTATTTTTTTTCAAAGATGAAAAATAAGGAAAATCACTAAAAATAGAATATTCCTCAAATAATGGTGTCGTTAGTCACATTAATTCCTAAAAATCGTGTATTAAATTTAAAATGTAAAAGATAAAGCAAAAAGTAAATTTTTGACTCATCCCGACCCCTAGGCGCCCCACTACGCTCGTCGGGGGCTTTTATACGGCGTTTTTCTTTTTTTGTCATTTTTTGAGGCCATTTTTTTCAGGCACGCCCAGAGAAATGTAAGGATCGTGTGTGCAAAATTTCATAATTTTTAATTTATTTTAACTTTCAAAGACGAAAAATAAAGAAAATCATAAAAAAAATATAATATTCATCCAAAAATAGTGCCACTTGTTGCATTAATTCCTAAAAATCATATATTAATTTAAGAATACAAAGCACAAATAAAAATTTATATTTTTTACTCATCTCGGCCCCTAGGCATCCCACTATGCCGGTCGGGGGCTTTTTGATAGCGTTTTATTTTTTTTTATCATTTTCTTAGGCCATTTTTTACAAAGGCCATTTTTTGCAGGAATGCCCAGAAAAATGTGAGGATCGTGTCTGCAAAATTTTAGATCTTTTTGACATCATTTTTATTTTATTTTATTTTTTAAAGACAAAACATAAAGAAAATCATAAAAAATAAAATATTCATCAAAAAATGTTGTAACTTATTGCATTAATTTTGAAAAATTGTATATTAATTTTTTAATGTAAAACATAAATAAAAATATAAATTTTTGACCCATCACGGCCCGTGTACGCCCCACAACGCGGGCCGGGGGCTTTTTTACAGCGTTTTACTTTTTTTTGTCATTTTTTGGGCCCTTTTTTGCATGCATGCCTAGAAAAATATAAGGATCGTGTATGCAAAATTTCAGAACTTTTTGACATTATTTTTATTTTATTTTATTTTTCAAAGACGAAAAATAAAGAAAATCATGAAAAATAGAATATTCATCGAATAATGGTGCCGCTTGTTGCATTAATTCTTAAAAATCACGTATTAATTTTAGAATGTAAAAGATAAATAAAAATGTAAATTTTTTACCCATCCCGACCCCTGGGTGCCCCACTACGCGCGTCAGGGGCCTTCATGCAACGTTTTTCTTTTTTTGTCATTTTTTTAGGCATTTTTTTGCAAACATACCCAGAAAAATGTAAGGATCGTGTATGCAAAACTTCTGACCTTTTTGACATCATTTTTATTTTATTTTATTTTTCAAAGACGAAAAATAGAGAAAATTATAAAAAAAATATAATATTCAACAAAAAATGGTGCTGCTTGTTGCATTAATTCTTAAAAATCGTGTATTAATTTAAGAATGTAAAACATAAATAAAAATGTGAATTTTTTACCACTCCAGGCTTCTAGGCGCCGTAGTGCGCGCGCTGGGGGCTTTTTAACATTATTTTTCTTTCTTCATTTTTTAGGCCATTTTATTCAGGCATACTCAGAAAAATGTAAAGATCGTGTTTAGAAAATTTGAGAATTATTTGACATTGTTTTTATTTTATTTTATTTTTTAAAGATGAAAAACAGAAAAAATCATAAAAATAAAATATTCATCAAAAAGTGGTGCCCCTTATTGCATTATTTCCTTAAAATCATTTATTAATTTGAGAATACAAAATATAAATAAAAATGTGAATTTTTTACACTTCTTGGCCTCTGGGCACCCCACTACTCGCGCCGAGGGCTTTTTGAAATCGTTTTTCTTTTTTCATTTTTTGAGGCTATTTTTTTGCAAGCATGCTCACAAATATGTAAGGATCATGTCTACAAAATTTCTAAATTTTTTGACATCGTTTTTATTTTATTTTATTTTCAAAGAAAAAAATAGAAAAAATTATAAAAAATAGAATATTCATCAAAAAAAAGTGTCGTTTGTTGCATTAATTCCTAAAAATCATGTAATAATTTTAGAATACAAAAAATAAATAAAAATGTGAATTCTTGACCCCTCCTCCCTCTGGGCGCCTCCCTACGCTCGCATTGGCCTTTTTAACATCGTTTTTCTTTTTTCTTTTTTTCCAGGCATGCTCAAAAAAATGTAAGGATCGCGTCTGCAAAATTTAAGAATTTTTTAACATCGTTCTTATTTTATTTTATTTTTCAAATACGAAAAATAAAAAAATTTATAAAAAAATAGAATATTGGTCAAAAAATGTCGCTGCTTGTTACATTAATTCCTAAAAATCATGTATTAATTTAGGAATACAAAACATAAATAAAAATGTGAATTTTTTACCCTTCCTGTCCTCTAGGCGCCCCACTATGCGCGCTGGGGGCTTTTTGGAATCGTTTTTCTTTTTTCATTTTTTGAGGCCATTTTTTGCAGGTATGCTAAGAAAATAAGGATTGTGTCTGTAAAATTTTAGAATATTTTGACATAATTTTTATTTTATTTTATTTTTTAAAGACAAAAAATAAAGAAAGTCATAAAAATAGAATATTCATCAAAAAATGGTGCTGCTTATTGCATTAATTCTTAAAAATCATGTATTTGTTTAAGAATGCAAAACATAAATAAAAATATGAATTTTTCACCCCTCCCGGTCTCTGGGCACCCCACTGCGCGAGCCGGTGGTTTTTTGACATCGTTTTTCTTTTATCATTTTTTGAGGACATTTGTTTTAAGCATGCTTAGAAAATAAGGATTGTGTCTACAAAATTTCATAATTCTTGACATCATTTTTATTTTATTTTATTGTTGAAAGACAAAAATAGAGAAAATCATAAAAAATAGAATATTCATTAAAAAATTGTGCCGCTTGTTGCATTAATTCCTAAAAATCATGTATTAATTTTACAATACAAAACACAAAAAAAAAAAAAAAAAATTTTGACCCCTGCCGGTCTTTGGGCGCCCCACTGCGCGCACCAAGGCCTTTTTAACATCGTTTTTCTTTTTTCATTTTTTGAAGCATTTTTGTTTTTACATGCATGCTCAAAAAATGTAGTAGAAAGAGAGAGATAGAGAGGGATCTAATCTCTTATTTGGTTGGAAGGAGAGGAGAAGGGAGAGTAGAGGTGGAGGGATATCCCCCATGGTTCACCTAATTAAATGGAAGGATCTAAACAATCCATCTATTTAATGCTTTAAAAGATTGTTTTAGTACTAGCATCACTTTTTCTGTCACTCTCTTTGACACTCTCTACATTAACGGTTGTCACTCTCTTTGACGCTCTCTACATTAACAGTTTGACATGTGGACTTTATAATCTCATTTTCTGTTTAAATAATTATATTTCATGTTAATAAAGTCTACGTGTCAAATAGTGAATGCAGATAGTAGTAAAGAAAATGACAAAAAGAGTGATGCTAGCATTTTTCACCAAATAATATGAAAGATTACTACAATCCTCTTTATCTTTCTCGCTCTTCGTCTCTCTAACGAAACGGAGCCTAATATGCATGCAACCACCATTCTTTGTTTTTCCAAGTGTGTGTGTGTGTGTGTATATATATCAAAAAATAGTATCATATGGTGTTTTAGGATAGACTTATTTATTTTCAAAGCCAATTCACCTCACATATCAAACTGAAAGTCTTTTTTTTTTCCTGAAAAAAAAGTCTTTTTTCGTTTATATATATATATATATATTAATTTTGTTTTTGGAGGAGGTTGATTCCAACTTCAAGATTATACCTTAGCATTAAAGTGGACACAGAGTTTCAGCTTAGTTAAACCGCAACAAAAGTCAAATAACTTTGTAATTGATTTCATCGTTTGGACAAGTATTAATAGTGGGGAGATGATTAATTCTTGACATTACAAAAGATAAAAATGGTTCAGTATTTCAAGTATAGCTATGATTCAGAAACCCCAAACTTCTTGTTTAATTTAAAAGGAAAAACTAACACCACTGCTATGTCATGTTGCTTGTCCCTTTTTCTTTTTACATCCAAAATGGAAAATAATTTGACGCCCCGAGAGTTTAAGCACATAAGACAGCTATATACAAGAAAATATAGTAATAACAAAAGAAACAAGAAAAGGCAAAAGCTTGAAGATTGAAAGATGCATCGGTCCATAATGGTTCATCATTAAGCTACTTCCAGAATTGAGAGTTTCTTCCTTTTTGCTTGAAATCTCGAGTCAATGATCATCTACTTTTAACAGAAACCAGACTCTTCTCATAGAAACAAGCCCAATGCCGCAATCGATCTACATCATGAATGACGACATGTCTACGCTTTTGCGTGTGAAGATTGTAGGAGACCAGCTGTTTATCTCTATCTTGCATGAGAAATTCATTGTTCTTGATGACTGATAATGTACTCACAAAATCTACTATGGGTCCGATAGAAAACTGTTTGGTCCAAGAAGAAGCACCTTTATCACCACTTGAGTTATCAACCATCACAAATATCTCAACGAATAGTGGATACTTATCACAATTATAATCTCTAAAGCACACAATTAAAGCAACATAGTCATCCCAGACCGACAGCCCCGCCCAATCTACCTCAAACTTAATATCACTTAGATCTGGGAATTGTGTGACATAAAATTCCTCGTCGGACATGTCAAAACAAAGGTTCATGTCATGACCCTCAAAATCCCGCACTACCCAATAACAAACTCCCATCCGATATACCGCAGCTTCATACACAAATTCTGCTATGTCCATGTCTCGAGGCAAGATAAACTCTCTCCAAGATTCCGTACCCAGTGTGTGTACCTCAACTTTCACAGTTACACAATTCCAAATTGCAACAACCTTGTATTGCTTAGCTCTGGAATCATATCCAAATCCCATTGCTGAAGGAAGAAATTCTCCAACATTTCGGGCATAATTTGTTAATGGAAGAAGCCTGCATTCCCGCAATACCGGATTGCAAACCATTATGGTACGAGCATCTTGAACTAAGCAAATGATCCCATCAGAATGATAACGAATACGCCACCTACCCAACCTATTATGGCCTCCATCCCGAGGTGGTGGTAAATTGAGTTCTTCAATAACAGAGAGAATACGATCATCGTCGTGATCACCATTCAATACTGTGACCAATGAGAATATGTCTCCTTGGCAATCTACCCCATTATGGTCCAGATGGGGGCAAAAGTGAGTGAAAATTAAGGATGAAGAGAACCTCATCTTCGTATGGCGGAGATGTTTTGCTACAAATGATGGATCATCGATGAGACCAGAGATAACACCGTACCATGACTTGCTTACGCGCTTAAATCGTATTAGCTCGTCGGCAGGCACCCATGACATGATCTCCTCCACCACCTCTGTTGGAAGATGGTGGAAGCTCGACATTTCCGCTTCCAAATCAAATCTAATTTAAACACACGACATAAATTAGGAGAACTTGTTTGTTTCTCGGGAAACCAAAAACATGATTCTGAAAACTCAGCTGAAATAAACTTCACTATCCATAATTATCCAAAATGTTGGCAAGACAAGAGGAGTGAAATCAGAAAAACCAAACTTCCACATTCTGAATTACTTTAGCAATTCCTTCCCATTTCACCAATTTTCTATATAATTGAAACTGAAACTAGATCTAAGCCTAACTCTGAATGCACCAAAACTTCCATTTTCATAGAAATTTCATCTGTTTTCTCCTTAGCTGAAACTGTAACTAGGTCAAACCCTACTTTTAAATTTGGCAACACTTCCATTTTCATAGAAATTTCATCTACCTTCTCTTTAGCCGAAAATGTAACTATGTCTAACCCTAACCCAAAATATACTAAAATTGCATTTCATAGAAATCATCAAAACATGATCATAGAGAGAAATTACAGAGGTAGAAGTAAGAAGCTGACCCTAAATCCGCAGAAAATTTCCGGTTAGCTATTACATTTGCGAATTTAGGATTGCTGAAACGACGCTTTGATCGCTGTTCTGGTTAAGCTTGTTTTGTTCCAAGTTTTCACTGGATTTTAGAATTGGGCCGTTTGGCTTGTTCATGGGTTGGACCTCCAGAAACTTAGGCTTGTTCATTTACACAAAAACTCTAAACTCAAAAAAAAGAATTAAACTCGTATTATAATTTTATTTAAGTTTACGTTCTTTTATAAAATTTGAGTTTGAATTTAAATTAAAGCTTAAATTTGATATTAAAATATGAATTCAAATTTTCTCTTCAATTTAAGTTTTTAAACTCAAACTCAAGTTAATGAATAATATTTTTTCTATTCTTAAACACGTTAGAACTTTTTCGTTTTAATTCTGATTGAAATGATTTTTTTCTATGCGTTCAAAACAAAGAGAATAATAAAACCTCACACATATACCCTATTAAAATTTTTTATTACCATTGAGCTTTTATTAAAATACTATCCAAATACAAATTCAAGTTTTGACCCACTTAAATACAAACTCATATAGATTCTCAATTCAAACCATAACTCAAAATGTGCACATCTAAACACAAACTCAAGAGTCCCAACTGAAACCATACTCGAATACATCTTAACTCAAATCAAGACCTAAACTCAAATCACCCTAACTCAAAAAATGTAAATGAACAAGTTAAGCTTTTCTTTTTTCTTGACAAATATTTACTCTTCGTTTATAATCTTTTTAGCCAAATAATTACACCAACAAAAAGATATTTACGAAGAATAAAGGATAAATGTTCAGACTCGTGCACTTTTAAAAAAAAATTCTCCATTTTTTCTTTATTTTTTCTTTTTCTTTCCTTAAAATCTAGAATCCAACCGTGTTCTTTTTATTTTTTTTTCATAATAAAAGAACATCACGGTGAATTTACCAACATGGATTCTTTTTAAGTGAACTCCAAATATTTAAACTCTGACTATATCTTACCACTAAAATGGGTGTGAAATGGTAGGCTAAAATATGCAACAGTATGAAGATTAGCAGTGAATCAGAGGAATGTCACTTTAGAGCAGTAAGGGAGACAGAAATTTCTGTGTCAGTGAGACTAATAATTAAAACCAAAATTTAATGAAGCTATATGATTATTTTAAGAAATAAAAAACTTGAGTGGGGACTTGGACATAGTAGCTCCATTGGTACTTTAGAGTTTGTTGTCTAGATATGATGAATGAATACAACAGATGATATATATATAGGCTTCGGCTATTGTCCGTCCGATGAATGCCCACAGGTGGCACACGCGTGAATGAAGTTGCTGTAGTAATGTGTCAGATGGTTTGGACTCGGAGGCATCTGTGAAATGCAGTATCGGCCAGTGGATGCCAGTTTTGAGTTACCGTCTATAACCGTTGTGTTTTAATTGTTACAATGGCATTAACTGTAAATATATAAGTAGCATGGTATTGATGCACTCAATTTATGATGCTTTTAAGATTTTTTTGAATTGGCAATTGTTTTGTAGTTGTGTAGGAACCACAAAGTAATTAAATGGGTGGAATTGCAAGGTAACAACGTGGGATGTACGTAGTAACAAGCTGGATTTTTTTCACTGTTTGAACAGACCGAGATCCTCTATACCAAGGATGATATTCTAATTCATGTCCACCTAATAATACAGGGCCACATCATTAGTGAAGGCAATTATCTGGTAGGGGGCTGAAATTGTAAAGTCCCTTAGATTAAAAATCTATAGCCCAAATTGATTAGTCCCATAAAAACCAAGAAAAAAAAATATTTATAGAAAATATTTATATTTATATTTATATTCTAAACAAGTGAGAACTATACGGTAAAAAATAAGAGATAAATAAATCCATTTGTAGGATAGAAAATTCTAAAAAATAATTAATGTCAAGTATCATAGAAAAGACTATTCAAGAGATGACAAAGTAGAAGAAAATTATAGAGCTGCACAACTTAAAGATGCATCAAATAACTACCAGTATTCTCAATGACATGCAAAGTTTTGCTTTCTTCTCTTTGCCTTTTATTTCGCTTGAAAATTTCAACAACTTTATCTGTCTCTAACAGAAACCAAACTCTTAACATAGAGAAAAGGCAAGACAAAATGAGCACGCCTTATTATTTCACCACCATGAGCGGTGACATCTCTAAGCTTTTGAGTTCCAAGGTTGTAGGAGACCAGCCTTCCATCTTTACCTACCATGAGAAGCTCATCAGTACTGCTCCATAATGATAATAGGAACGCGATGCCTCGTAATGGTCCGACGTTTAGGCGCTTTTATCAAGAACAAGATCCTTGATCCTCCAGTACAAATACTTCAACTTCTTTAAGGTTATGATCATCTCTAGAAGAACAAAAAAATAGGGTAAGAGAGTCGTTCCACACTTCAAGCCCTACCCAGTAGAGCTGTACTCTTTCCAATAATGTGACATTATTTGGAAATGGTATGGTATAAAATTCCTCATCACACATATCGAAGCAAAGGATCTTTCTGTTTCTTGTGTCATCATTAATTGCGACCCAATAACAAACTCCTCTCCGGTGTAGTGCAAAAAATCGACACTTGAAATGAATTCTCTCTTCGGAAATGTCAATCTCTCTCCAAGAATCACTACCTAGTGTGTATACCTCAGCTCTTTCGGTGGTGTTATCGTGATCATAGAAAACCCTAATAGTCTTGTAAACATTAGCTCTATGATCATATCCAAATCCGACTCCGAAAGGACTAGCCAGCTCGACGAAACTATCAATGGGGTCATACTTTGATGCCGGAAGAATTTTGAATTCATGTAATATTGGATTGCACAACACTAAGGTTTGTTTGTCTTTGACAAGAAGAATGATGCCATCACATTGACGAATGTCCAAAATACCCTGCCACATGTAGCCAGTTTCATTCTGAATAAGTGGTAACTTGAGAAATTCAAGGGCGACACGAATATTATCAATTTCACTATCATTGACCATAGTGATCAATAAGAGTTTGCAGCTTTCGTCGCAGTCTATCCAGCGGTGGTCCAGGTGCGGGCACTCATCACTAAAGATTAAGGATGCATGACAGTTGTTTTTCGCGTAGTCGAGGTGTTTAGAAACAAATATTTGATCATTGATCAAAGCACTTATAAGTGCGTGCCAATATTTGTTGACGCACTTGAATCGGAGTACAGAAATTGCAGGCACCCGCGACATGATTTCCTCTACCACCTCCTTTGGCAGATCATAGAAGCTCGCCATTTACTCTGCTTCAAAACATATTGTATGATCAACTTCTTTGTTCAGCCGCAGCGAAAATTATTGAGAATTCAGCTACAATAAAAATTCAAGAATCAAATATTGCGAAGATCTCAAGAGGTGATGAAATCAAAGACTTATTTCAAATGCCACCAAAAACAAACGAAAAAACCAAACTTGACATTCAACATCACTGTTGCACTTCCTTACCCTTATGGAAATTGACATTCAAACTTGACATTCAAATTATGGAAATTGCAATAAATTCCTATTAGCTTACATCTAACCTAATGTAAATATTCTAACCATTTTATATCGGTATTTCCATGCAATGCATGCTATTAAAATAATACCACCCGAACCAGAAACCAAAAAACTAAAAACTAATCATTTGTATTTTTTGAGTTAGGGTGACTTGAATTCAGATTTTGATTTGAGTTAAGGTGGTATTATTTGAGTTGGGACTCTAATTTGAGTTTGTGTTTGGATGTGCACATTTTGAGTTATAGTTTAAATTGAGAATCTATTTGAGTTTGTGTTTGGGTGAGTCAAAACTTGAATTTGTATTTAGATAGCATTTTAATAAAAACTCAATGGTGATGAAAAATTTTAATAGGGTGTATAGTGGGGTTTTATTCGTCTCTTCGTTGTGAACGCATAGAAAAAAAATCATCTCAATCGGAATTAAAACGAAAAAGTTACGGCGTTTTTAAGAATAGAAAAAAATTTGTTCATTAACTTGACTTTGAGTTTAGGAACTTGAGTTGAAGGGAGAACTTGAACTCAGATTTTAGTCACAAATTAAAGTTAAAACTCAAGTTTAAATTCAAATTTTATAAAAGAACATGAACTTAAATAAAGTTGTAATTTGAGTTTAAATTTTTTTTTAGTTTGGGTGCAAATGAATAAACCCAACTTTTACTGGGATACGAAAAGTTATTTAGACTAGTAAGACTTGATCTCAGATTTATGAAACTCTTCATTGTGATATACTCCTCATGTGATACAAGGATCAGAAAAACACAAAACTAAAAGTAGAGAGGTAGAGATAGACGCTTACCTAAGGTAGGATCGCGATAGAATAGAGATAGAATTTAGAGAAGAATTACAATCAAGAAGAAAAAAGATGATTCAAAAAAGAAGTATAAAACAACAAGAACTTAAGAGAAAGAACTAGAACTCAATATTCATTCATCAATCATCAAATCTCAATAAGAATTACAATGATTAAGGTATTTATAGAATCTAAAACAAATAAGAGATTTAGATATTTTAAAAAATAAATATAAATCGAAATTAAATACTAAGAATTGATATATCCCTATAGATAATTCCTAAATTCAAATTCCTAATACTTTGTTCTGCATGATCACCTTAACTTATTTATAAAAATAAAAATAAAAAATAAAAAAAATGAATGAACCTCTTACGCTACTTTTTTTTTCTTTCGTAGAACTTGAGACTTGAGAAGTGTGCAAACTGGCCAGTGGTCATGCATTAGGACTAGGGTTTACTTATTACCGATTTAATGATTACTGATGAAGAATTCTTGTAACCCTTGCCGAAAAAGTGGTCTACTTCCTTTCTTCACTGGTCCGTATAAGACATCAATCTCCATGTTATTGTTTACTTAATGGGCTGGGCCTCTCAACTTTCTCTTGATGAAGAAAGAGAATTTCTGAACACAACACAAGGGCGCATTGACTCTTGTTTTTAACCTACTCTTAATTAATATCTTTTTAATTAATATAATTAATTGACTAAAAGAATATTTATAACCTAGTTTGAGAGAAAGAGGTATATCCTAATTTAGAAAACGAAATAGGAAATTGTATAAAATATTTGTACATTTAAAATTTATATTAATAAATACCTAATTTATCAATATATAAAAATTAATAGGTCTCATTATGTTTTGAATTTTTCAGTTTTCAATTTTACCCTTTTTCTTTTCATTTTTCTTTTTTTTTCTTTTTTTTTTCTCTCTCTCTAGATCCCCTTTTCTCTCTTACATGGTAATCAACATACATTTTGTGTTTATTCGTAAATCTCAAATTTACAATGTAGAAAGTGATGAGACAGAAAGAGCATGAAGAGAGAGTTAGGATAAATTTTAAAATTTCATTTCCTTTTTTAATTAAGGGTATCTTTGAAATGTTAATTTAGTGTAACTTCATATATACATCAATTAAGCTTATTTATTAACTAATTATAAACCTTACCTTATTCATTTTTATTGCCCTTTTAATCAGACCTATTTTCCTCAATCTCTAGGGAAAAAAAATGTTTGAACTTACCCTTAAAAGTACATAAGTTTGGATTTAAAAACTTTACTCTTGATTAGTACTATTTTGTTAATACAGTTATTTGACTAAAAGGGTATTAATTTAGAGTAATGAATAAAAATCAAGACTCATGCATTTTTAAAGAGTATTTATCAAGATTTTTTCTATAAAAAAAAAAGAAAACAGAAATACTACTCAAGTTGGTTAAAAAGTATCATTTATATCAATTTATTAAAATATACAACTGTCATTCAATTACTAAAGAGAAAATAAAATGTTACAATAATATTTAATTATTTAAAGTGACATAAATAATAGACTGACAAATCATGTATTTTTCTCTTAAAAAATTAATGACTGAAATTTAAAAAAAAAAAAAAATTAGTGACTAGAAATTTTTATTTGAATTTGAATTTACTACACTGATAAATTACTAGTAGAAACTTTAGGGGAATTTAAAAAAAAGAATCGAGAAAGTGGAAAGGTAAAATCGCACCAATAACGCAAATATAGCAGAACTTTTCAGACTGGTTTAGGAGTAGACTTGTTTTCAAAAAAACAAATAAAAATCATGACTTGTGATGACGTAATAACTCTTCTGAAACACAAATAATGATAGTTTATTCCACAAAATATCAACAAATATCATCTTTATTCCACATATCTCTCTACATCTACTCTCAATTAAAAATATTTAAAATTCCCTGTATTTTAATATAATTTTTTTTTATTTCTCATTGCACATGTTTTTCTT